AATCTTAAGTTATCGTTTGGTCAGACGGTTCGAATTTTTTGATAATTGTATTATTGTTAATACAGTACAGTAGTACCAATGAAAATAAATACTAACGACCGCAGTATCGGGAATATGGCGTTAAAAAATTCAAAAATGTTAAATGCCTATATTAATAGTTTAAAATTAGTTTAAATATTAAAAAAAAAATAATGTAATACAAGAATGTTTCAAGATTCTAGGATTTTTTGATTCCAACAAAATTTTATTTGAGAAGAAATCTTTTTTTTTTAATATTGAGAAAATCCAATGCTATTAACATTTTAACATCAATGCCTCATAACAAATTGTATGCTCAACCTTATTAAAAATGTTTAATAAAACAATTTGTGAAGATTATCGTTCACGATATAATACCAACCAAGTTTATAAATAATAATGGCCAGTACGATTTGAGTATGCAGGCACAGGCCCAAAATAATTGTGGGTTTCAGTGCAAAAATATTTGCGAAGCCTACCATAAATTAACTACATATCATCAGCAATATATTAACAGTAAATGTCCCCGTTATACAATTATGAAATGTATTAAAAAACATCATTCGTTTGTGCTTTACATCCCAAAGCTTGTGTATTCGCCGTTTCCGAAATGTCAAACTTTTAAAGTGGAGCTGCCAAGGACATGCTGTGCACCCCCCACTTCAGAGCTCATAATTTAAACATAGAAATATAGAAATATAATGAAATAATAAAACTGACGTATTACATTGTATGAAGTGTATCACTAGTTTATTTCTAAATAATTCTTTTATTTTTCACAATGATAAACACACGATTTTTAACGCTAAGAAATAATACAATTTTCAAAACAATTTTTCATTTTTTTTTTTTTTTGACCGCAGGACTTCAAATGTTCATAAAAATGTGAGGCTCAGGTCCTGTCCACTCACCTCCTCTAAATGTGACTCTGTACATAACATAATAGTATAGCAAATAATGACAGATAAAGTGTACCGATATATTATAATCATTAATATATAATGACGCTCGACGTCCTCGAGAACATCTACATTTTATTACCCAAGTAAAATAACGTTATTAATTACTATGCATGTACATACGAATATACGATTACATAGCTATATTATACGTTTTTGTAATCGAGAATGCTATCCATAAATATAAAATGCACGTGAATGTGACACATCAGTGTAGTGACTGGAAAAACGAAAAACTAATTCACACGTACCTACCAATAACACCGAATAACACAAAAAAGTATTTGACGTCCAATGCAACACCTTGGATATACCGTAAGAATAGTAAATAAAAGTTACAATTAAAAAAGTTAAATCACAAGTTCATTATGAAGAACGTTTGTCTTAAGAAATATGAAAATATACAAGTTTTGAGTTAAGTAGGTACCTTAGTTGTTACTACACTAATGTTCTGATGTGCAGCGAAATATTACAAATATTATCGTACAATAGGTAATTAATGTGGGTTTATAATCACCGATGTAATTACAATTCCTTTTGGAATATAAATTTACACCCTACGCCAGGCATGGCACTATGGGGGCCCCACGGCTCACATAGGTACAAATTTATCGAAAAAAAAACATTTCATACACATTTTTAATTTGTTTTCATCACTTACAATACTGTACACAATATTTATTCAATTACATAGTTTAACTGCAGATAAGACCGAAAAGTAACATAATGCATGCCTCTCACTAACACAATTGTGACACGAAAGGAAAATTGTATACCTAATTTTTTTTTCAATAAATTGTATATTAAAGTTGCTATCAGCGGGCCTTCAAAGAATAAGCCGAAGGTCAAATGTCTGCTCCATGCAATACTTATAATGTGTATTACTTTGCCGAAGTTACTTCGCTCTGCTAATTATTAAATATTATTATGTTGTACCCACTGAAGCACTGCACAAGACTTTGTCTCTGCGTATTGCAATTATTGCATCAACCACTGTTCACGGAACAATAAATTGTAGATTTTTTTTTAATACGTTAAAATATTAGTATTATTGTGTTTTACTTTTTACGATAAAATTTTGTGGTCGAAACGGTACCTAGGAAATCGATAACCATGTGATTAAAATTCAAATTCAAAAACGCAATATAATATGTTATTTTTGTACCCCGAAATGTTAGTTTGCTCGGTGCCGGGGAATCGTGTGACAAGCAGCCACAGCACTGCCGCGGGCGTTAATCGGTCGACTTTCAAAAGTCACTTTGTCAACATCCACCGAAATTCCAAACCGGGCTACATAAATTGTACAATAAACGCGAGCGTTGCCTGTTTTAAAGTTTAATTTTAAATTAAACGTCACTCCACACGTCTCCTAAGCAATATGTACCTATACATTTTATGCATTCAAGTAACAAGGTAGGTATGTATCGTAGTGCTTTCGCAATCAGCTGCAGCCTGCGGCAATATTATTGTTATTGCGACGATAAACATAATTCACGTGTTATACAGGATGCAATATAATAAACATTTAATATAATTTGACCGACTTTTGGCTTCAAAATACTATAAATATTGCAATTGATTCATTTCTCGCCGATCGGAATAAATTTCGATTTTAGACATCGAAGACATTACATATACCTAAACAGTGTAATAATTAAGTAATAACTAGGCATGTAATTATGTTATCATGTACATAATAATATTACACGCGTACCTATAAAACCAACCACTTTGTACCAGTTGTACAAAATCAAATATACAAGTGTCATTTTATTTGAATAAATATATTGTAATTTGTAATTACTCATCACATATCAATATTATATTAAAATTTAAAACATGTATAATTTTCTTTTAGTTGTATTAAGTGTTATTTATTTGTGCAGTTTGAGTATTAAAAAATTTAGACAATTTGGTGTGCTTTGATAAGACATTAAAATGAAATTTATTTTAATAGAGATTACAAAATATCACAATTAATCAAACAAGCGATAAGTGGAGCGTTCGTTAGAAAATATGTCATTTTATTTATGTAGTAAAAATCATCAAAAATTTGGAAATCTTAAATATGGCGGTTCTTCGTCTCAAAATTGTTTTTGCCCCCATAAATGAAAATCTGCATTAGGTACGTCCTTCTAATTTTATAATGACATAGTAGATGTATTCATAAACTATTATCTTTAAAGTCAGTATCCTAAAATTCAAGTATGAACTAACTGAGAGATATTTTATAATTTGTATTTTAAATTGTCCAAAGCGTCATAATACATAAAATATGTTGATCAGTGTTGTATAGTGTTGTTTACCAAACTAAAAATTATCAATAGTATGTAAGTACACACGCGGCTACCTATCGATACAAATTTACTTTCAAACTCAAATTTGTTACCCTGAAGAAAAAATTGACTATACAAAAAAAACCTAATCAGATATAACATGAGTACCTAAAAAACTTTCTTTTTTAATACTGACCCCCATCCCAAAAAAAAAATTTACCTGAATAAAAATATACCAGGCCTTCAATCTAATGTACCAGTTGCCATCAACATATTATCATCTATACGACCACAATACCACCACAGATTTAAAATATGATGGTAAATATTTGGAGGCGCGACGTCGTTGACCCCGCTAAAGTGCGAATTACCTATGCCTAATAATGAAAATAAAAATAAATTCATAGGATAAAAGAAACAATATTGTAAATTTATTCAATGATAATAATGACCGGCATACACCATAATTTCTCAAAAAACAAAATTTTAATTAAAAAAATTGTCATGTCCAATATAACTTGTGTCGGTAATATTTCCCTCTTTCTACCAGGTGCGTGCTATACGTTGATGACAATTGGTACATTCGACTAAGGCCAACTCCCAACTGGCACATTTTTAAATGTCGAACACAGTTTTAGGCAACTGGTCAACACCACTTGATGACTACATATTTATCATTATATTATCGCAACTTATTAATATATGATAAGGTTTTTCTGTTCTAAAAACTAAAATTGCACGTATTCTACATATCATTGTACTGCAGTTGGTAAACAAGAGTCTGTAACAGACTGTCAAAGAATTTATTACATTTTTATTTATAGATACACTATTATGTGTCTTAAATATTTTAACCAACATTTAATAATGTTATTGTGTAGATAGCATTTAAGAAGTAATATTCTGTTGAAAATAGTAAATCGTATTTTACTGAGTATTGTAGCCAGGTCCCGTCCTTCCTATACTTAGAATACAATACGATTTGTAATGGATTTAACTTCATATCAGGTGCATTAATAGTCTTGTTTCAAAAGTGAACGAACATGTTAAGATTTTATAGGACTCGCCGAAGGAGGAGGTTATTAGTTATAGCCAAGACCGTATCCAGAAAAATATTTAGTGGGGGGGGGGGGGGTTGAGTGTAAATATGTTATATTATATAATAAAATATGAAAATATAAAAATATAATTTTAATTAAATTAATCTTTTTTTAAAAAATAATTAAATCTTGTTTCAAAAAAAAATTCGGGGGGGTTTGAACCCTGACTCCCCCCCCTGGCTACGGCCTTGGCCCTTGGTCATAGCCCATAGGTAATGCGGCATAATTCTGAACGTGTTCGGTGTTCCGCAGACGCATTTTGTGATGTTTCACTTGGAAACGACAAGCAGCCAAATTAGAACGCTCAATATTATCATTCAGGCGGGTTAGGTACTTAATTAATTTCGTTTTTTCACCCGAAAGTTCACAATGACGACAATGAACAATAATGACAACAATAATGATGATGATGATGATGATGATAGTAATAATAATAATAATAATAATAAATATTTGCTCAAAGCTGCAGCTCTAGTAAATCGTTGTAAGTAGGTACCTACGTGAATAATGCTTGTCGTCATAGACGAAAAACAGTGGCGTATGACTGCCGATTGGTGTAGTATAATAAAATAATAATATGAGCGTGCTAATAATAATTATAATAACTATTATATTAAATCATTTATTATTATATTTGTATTGTGTAGGTAGGTACCTACGTGACATTTCCGGGACTCACTATCGCGCGTGTCTGCGCCGGAGGAAAGGCACCGAGTAATGTAGTCTAAGGTATGTAGGCATAATATTATAATAACACAATGAACATATTATTATAATAATAGTTTTGTATATTAACGCGAATAACGAACAATGTAGATTCGAGTACCTACCACCTACGGTTTGATTTTGTATCTGTCTACATTATCTGTACTGGATACTCGAAATTTCAGTGTCCGGACAGTCTGTCAAAACGACAATAATTCGTAAAAAGATTTATTGGTCGAATCCAAAATTCATGGAAAATACAGTTGGTCAAACAACATTTTTTTGGGGATTGTTTTGAAATTTCACGTTTAGTGTTTGCATTCAATAGCTAAAAATTAAAAACTGTTCCCTTATCTTCCAATTATTAGAAAACAGGTACCTGAATGGCATGTCGTCATGGTCATGTTTTATACATATATATTTTTTGACCTAATAACTGCTGTTTTATTTAGTATTAAAATGATATACATTGTAAAAATTTGTATTTTTTATAAATAATGTGGCTTGACAGTTGACATGCATTTATATGATTACAATTTACAACAAAATATGTGTGTATACATTTTTTAATTTATAAAATCAACTGCATGGTTATTACTTATTAGTCAGCGTTTACTGTGGAGGAGGGAACGGTTTTAGGAGGGAACGCTTGTATGTGTGACAAGTTTTAAAAAATACTAAATAAAAATTTCATTTTCATTGATTTATGAAACGAATTTTTTTTTAGGACAGCAATTTCTAATAAAATGCAAAATAAATGAAATTTGTATTTAAATCCGTGCTCTAGTTATAAATTATAATTTCTGATGATGCATTGATACCGAGGGGAGTGGACGATCAGCCGAACCGAAATCTAATATTTTGAACACCTTTTAACCCAATTTTTTAATCACGCCTTGTGATATGAAAATATAAAATATTTATAATTTATATTGATGTTAATATAAATAAAAAATAAAAAATTCTTTTAGAGCAGCTGCAGTGGCCCACCGGAAAAGTTCCGTGTAACCCACCGGCCAAGTCCACCCCTGGAAAGATTGTATTAAGTATCAAATTTTTCCTATAATTTAACTTATTAAAACATTGTTTATCGAATTATATAAATATTTTTAAAAAATTAATAAAAATCAACATTTTCTAATAGCTCAAAAAAAAAATCAAAATATTTTTAAATGTTTTGGCACATAGAAAATGCCAATATAAATATTTGGTAAACATTTCAAGCATTTACAGATATTTATTTTTTGAGGTAGGTACATTACAAAAAAAAACAAAATCAATTATGTGAAAAACTGGTTTTGCCTAGAAATTCCCATTTTTCCTTAATTTTTAACATCTGCTGCAGGTTTATCAACTAGTATTAAAAGTAGAATCCTAAATCTTCATTAACTACTTAATGTCAAAAATTGTTATTGCATCACCACAATATAATATCACTCTAACGATATCGTCATGCACGATAGTATATATTCAGTGTTCATATAGATACCAATTCCATATGTCTTTTAAAATGTTTTCCACATTTCAGTCAAAATAATTATTCAACAATAAGCGATGATATAACGTTTAAAAAATTAAATGCACGCCGCCTTCTAAGGTCTATCAGAATGTGAACTACAAACAAAGACTCTCCTAACGGCTAGCCTTATGAGTGACAGTTATACGATAGCGGATAGACGTTAATTTGTCAATATTTGAGTGTAGTGATGTTTGCACAAAGAACAGTATCTAATAAATATTTTACCATTTTGTAACTGTCAAACTGTGTACTTAATGTCATATTGCACGTAGATACCATTGATAATAATTGATATTTTTATCCTATTTCAGCTTTCACTTCATATTGTTCATCATTTTGCCTGTATTTAATTTTTAATTTGTCTAAAATTAGAGAGAAAGCTCTTTAAACTTCTGCACTAGATGGTGGAATAATTATAGATACAAAGTACCTATAGGATATAGTTCAGAAAAAGACACTTCAAATTTTTCAAATAACTGCATTAAATCAAGTATTGTTTTTATCTGAGTATCGTTTTTTACTTCATGCCATATGCTAACCTTTATAACTAATTTTAACTCTGATTCTAAACTTTCTATATTATCTAACTTGTAATGTTAAGTTGGTAAACAGAATAGGTACGATCATAAGTGAACAATCATATAAGTTTTTAAAAATTATATAGTTGCCCTAGGTGTGGTAATCTGGCTGAAAAAAAAATACTGTAAAAATCCATATTGTCTACCTTTAGATCTATGGTCTACTTAAATGATAAATCATGTGTACAATATACATTTACAAAAGTTATGAAAACCCGTTGTTGACTCTATAAATATCTACTGGCTAAAACCTGGAGATGCCAATAAATTGAATTGTCTAGTAACCACGTAATTAATCAAAAAACAAATACAAGTAAGTTCGATGTAGAAATCAATAAACTCGAACGTTTTCAGCATTTAATCGCCGTAACTAGTACAAAGAGGAACCAGAGAAAATACGAGTCTTTGTTTGGAACTAAAATGATTCAAATTTCAAACGAACGATCTTACTTGTGGTTGGAATAAGAGTGTGGAGGACAAACCGTCCCCGTGTGACAAGTGCGACAAGGCTTTTAGTCAAATTATGATTTAACGAAGCATCATCGAAAATATACGGAATTAAATTCATTTCACTGCGACGCATGCGACAAGTCATTCAAGCGATCGACACCTTGATGGAACACCGGAGGCCGCACAGGGGTGAGAAAGCACACCTGTGTGATGTTTGCGACCATGGATTCAATTATAATAGCCAACTGATGGAACACCGGCGAATTCATACGGGAGAGAAACCATTTCCTTGCGACTCATGCGACAAGTCGTTCAGTCGTAGCAGATATTTGACGGTACATCGAAGGACACATACGAGAGAGAAACCTTTTCCCTGCGACGTATGCGTCAAGTCTTTCAGGCGAAGCGACACCTTGATGGAACACCGGCGGATTCATACGGGAGAGAAACCATTTCTCTGCGATGTATGCGACAAGTCGTTTAGGCGAAGCACCGATTTGATGGTACATCGGCGGACACATACAGGCGAAAAACCCTTTTCTTGTGGCGTATGCGACAAGTCGTTCAGTTATAGAGGCAATTTGATGGTACATCGACGGACACATACGGGAGAGAAACCATTTCCCTGCGATGTATGCGACAAGTCGTTCAGTCGAAGCACCGATTTAATGGTACATCGGCGGACACATACAGGCGAAAAACCGTTTCCTTGTGACGTATGCGACAAGTCATTCAGTCAAAGCAGCAACTTGATGGTACATCGGCGGAAACATACGCGCAAGTAGCGGTTTCCCTATGACATGTGATACAAGTCTTCCAACCAAAACTGTATTTTGACAAAACTTCACCGAAAGCATCGGGCTGGATTTCACAGAACACAGTTCAGAGTATTTCATAATTAGTTAATTTGTTAATTTATTTGTATGTAGCGAGCTGTGACTATGTTTTACATATTATAAATAATCATTCCAGTAAATCCCTCCAGTAGTTCTAAATATACAGCAGAAACACGATATGCTGAAGGAGGCCTACGACGCATCTATTGCGCGTGACCTCGAAACGTATATGTTCATAGATATTTAACTACTTATATGAATATTATTAAAATAGTTCACACTAAAAGTTTTGTGTTGCCTCTGTAGAGATGACAACGACCAGATAAGCAAGGGACATCCGGCGTGTGCAGCGCGTGGCTGACCACGGTATGACCTTATATGGTAAAGTAGTAAGATAATAGGCAGGGATATGATCCAAGTATAGCCATCATAATACGTCGCACGAATAGACTTCGGGAGACGGACCAGCAACACCGAGCTAGATGAACTAGACGGACCAACAACACCGAGCTAGCCGGACTAACACCACCGAGCTAGACGGACCAACGACACTGAACTAGACGGACCAACGACACTGAACTAGGCGAATCAACACCAACGACAAGCTAGGAGCTAGGATATTAAAGTCACATCTCGCTAGTCTTCATTATTTAAAATAGTCATTTTGGACTTAGTAAATTTATTGTGTTTTGTATTAATTAAATAAAAAGTATTCAAATTAAAAAGAAAAAACAAACTCTTGTTCATTTATTCTCATCACCATCAAACGAACGTAGTCAGATTGTTACATGTATAATAGGTTCTCAATTATAAATTGCGATTGGTTTTTGTCGTCATCAATTTGTTGTTGTTTTTAATGAAAAACAACATCTTTGGAGCAGTTACAGGATAGCAACATTTTTTTTTAAACCTAATGCTATATCGTTAAAAAAATATTTAAAATTCTAAAAAAAGTATAAACCCATAATTTCATTTTCTCTAAGTACTCACTGGGAGAGGAGAAGGCGCATTGTAATTTAGTATTCTTATACATTTGATGAGTGTTGATTTGTTGATCATCAATTTTAGTGTAAAATATAATCAAACCTACACACACATTACACGCACTGTAAATGTTAAATGCTCTTCACGACCATATGTTTTAGATTCTGAGTGGAACAATGAATGTATTGATTTAACAATGATGTGTTTTTTTTTTTTTTTTTTTTTTTGTGTCTGTCATCACCTTTTAGGACAGTAAAACTGCTTCGATTTTCTTCAACAGCAACTTTTCTGATTGGAAAGTGAATCTAGTTGGTACTTTGGGGGGTCAAAAGTAAAAATTTCTCAGTAGTTTTCAATAGCGACGTGAAAAACAAAAGAAAAATGAAGGAAAAACGGGAATTTTTACGCAAAATCGATTTTGGTTTTTGGTGTAACTCTAAAACAAATGGCCGTAGATATATGAAATTTTCACAGGTTGTTTATATTTGCATTTTCTATACACGGTAAAATTTTGAAAATAATTTGACTCTTTTTGAACTGTTTACGGACATTGTCAGTTTTCAATTTTTTTATTTTTTTTTTCTATAAATATCAATAAAATTTTATTTGTTGGTTAAAAAAACTTGAAAATTTAATACAAGGCTCCTAGTATATTGTTTCAAAGGCAGATGAAAAAAATTAAAAATCCTTAGTCACATTTTTTTTTTATAAGCATTTAAAGTTCAAATATTGACAAAATACGTAAAAACGACGAAAATTTGGAAATTATTTTAAGTTAGAAGTTCATAAAAAATTTTGTTTTTAAATCTAAGATTTTAAAATTTAATACAAGATCCCTCATAAGTTTGTCTACCATTATCAAAAAAAAAATTTGTGGAAGAAAGTCAAATTAAATTTTTATGAGCGTTTGAAATTCATATTTTTACAACATTTGATATTCACTCGATTTATTATATGTAACGATTTTCTGTTTTTGTTGTAATTAAAAAACGAATGGCTGTAGATACTTGAAAATTTCACTGAATGTTGATATTAGCATTTTCTAAACACGATAAAATTTTGAAAATAATTTTACTCTTTTTGAGATGTTTACGATTACGGACATTGTCTATTTTCAATTTTCTTAGTTTTTTTTTCTATAATACCAATAAAATTTTAGTTGTTGGGCGAAAAAGCTTGAAAATTTAATACAAGACTCCTGATATATTTTTACAATAGCAATTGTAAAATATTTAAAATACATAGGCACAATTTTTTTTATAAGCATTTAAAATTCGAATTTTGACTCAGATATATTGTTATTAATAGTCTTAACCAAGACTGACATACCGTCTCCACTCAGAATCGTTTTTCTTATACAATGATATTGTATCATTGAATTCAAATTTAATTCCATCCATTATACAGTGACCCACTTGTTATCTACTGTACAGCAGAGCGACATCCACTTACCCGCTTTTTATTTATTTGATGGTGTCCTTTTATAAGTTTTGAGTGAATGAACATATTATATTGTTATTGGTTTATCGTTAAAAATCTCCAATTTGTTTGTGATAAATGATAATATTCTTTAATTTAGGATAAAAATTTCAACCATATTTAGTTCAATTTTTTTCATCTAATATGTTACTCAGTTTTTAAGCGGGTCTCACTGCTCACACAATAATTTTGATGTCTGGTGATAACATACATTTTACTGTGACAACAGTTGAATGAGATTACTGGTTAGTGGTTTATTAGATCAACCTTTTATTAGAATCAAAAAATAAAATAACTAAGCCAAATTATAATATTTTAATGATGCTAATACATTTTACTATAATCATCGTGTCCGGTATAACTGTATCACTTAAATGGCTTTTATATGGTTTTTAATAATAAAAACCAGAGGTACTACATAATGTCTTTTTATTGCATACACACGTTTTGATTTAAATTGATTAAGGATTACCGACTTTTGGCGCTATGCCTTGTAGAGAATTTGTTTTTGAACTATTTTACAAACAATTTAAAACTTAATCAAAAATTATGAAAGAAATAATGATGAAAACAACAAGGAAATAATTCACTAAAAAAAAAGTTACTCAAAAGCGATACAGAAAATTATCAATTATTCTATATAAACTGGCAAGTAGGTCCCATTAAACTTTGCCATAAAAATATGATTAACAATTATAAATACTATGTGTTAATGTTAGGCTAATATTAAAAATTAATAACCTTGCACTCAACTTTTGCCTTGTTAGTGTGTTTTTTTGTTCAATATTTTTTTCTCAATTATATGTAAATGTGTGTTATCCGATTTGTAAATGAAATAATAGAGGATTGTCAAAAAAAATGTTTCATATCATCAGTTGGTGTTAGAACCAAAACAGCCTGCACCCTATGTGATGAGCGGAATTCACTGTATTACAAATGGATTCTCATACTCTGTTATATTGCAGAAAACATACAGGATAGCCGACAACGACAAATGACAATAGACACAATTCACGGAAATAGACATTAACGGTGTCCAATGAGATAGAATGGAGTGATTGAGACATTTTAACCTCGTCAACTATCGCGAGACAAATCGTGTTGGTCGTAGATGTTCAAGAACCGTTTATTGATCGTTTTAATTTTCCATTTTTATAATAAATTTATAACTTTACAATGAAATTCGTTTAACGTTCAACTCACATTATTCACAGTTACTAGTTAGACATCTCTTAGTTCATGGTATGTTTCAGCCTATTGGTCAATTTGTGGATCATGAAACAATACACAAATGCATTAATGCTGTGTACTTATAGTGTGAACTAAATTTGTGTTTTTTATTACAACAATTTTGAACAATATTATACTATTATATAATGAGCATTATGAGCTGAATAAATAAATATGCTTCCCTAAAGTTTTTGGGAATGTGTTTAATCCCCGTAAGCCTAAGAATCAAAATGCTGGAAAAAATCGGAAAAATGTCAGGAAAACCCATTTTCCCAGAGATTCAGAAAATGTGGAAAAAATGGAGAATATTGAAATAATAAATTAACAAAATAAACCAGTTTCAATGAAAATTTAAAAAAAAACCAAATTTTCAGAAAATTAAAAAATTGTATTTATGCTTAAAATGATCGAATTATAAAAAAAACCAATTAAAAAATATAAATACTGAAACCTGACATAGTCATTTCACATTTGTCGATACGGCGTGCCTACGTATCATATCGTATTGACTATTTTTGAATACAACTATATCGATATTTGTTCTAAAAATAACATTATATACCTATCAAATATTTATGTGGAGAATGTATTTCCATAAACCTTTAATGTATTATGATAATCAAGTATAATTATTTACTGGATTTTTCCACATTACGTTACTTTTTCAATCTTTTAGGAAAAACAATTTTGTTTTTTTTTTTAAATATTTTCAATTTTCCTGAAAAATTGCAATTTTTTTCGTCAAAACCATTTTTCCGGAAATTTTGATCTATACCTGTAACTAAAATAAATATTTTATTAAATGTATGTAGTTTGAATACCTAGTCATAAGTTATGACCATTCTGAAATAGCCCATTGAATACATTTTCCTGGACTGAATATTCCCTCCTATAGATACAAATATTATTATGTCACAATAGTATCAACAAAGCACTCGGCAGAATCGTGTTTTACGTTCCTCTGAAATGTGTATAACGAATCATTGGAAGGCCGTTTCACATACTTATTTTTATTAGAAATGCATTGAAAATCTATGAGGTATTGGTATCCAAATTTGTATCGGATCTGTTTCATTCAAACGAAACAATTTTCGGTTTCAAATAACACATATATCACACGCATGACTACAACCTATTTGTAATTATTAAACAGAAGCCATTATAAACCAACTGAATTCAAAATGTAAACATACCATTAAATTTTAATAAACGAGAACAAACTCAATTCATTGTAATTTCAAAATGACGTTGACATATTAAACAAATCACTTGGTTATTCGAGCGAACTAGCTTAACAAAATGTAATGAAAACACTACGACATGTAATTCGTTTAAACAACAATTAAACTCACTCAAAATGTGAAAAATGTAATAATTAATAATTATTATGAATATTTCTATACATTACGTAAGACGTAAAGCATTATAATATTATTATAATTACCATCAGTATTCGTCACAAGTAAATGCGACTAATTACCCGAATTAAATTAACGTCGATTGTTTTTAGATCAGAATTTGTGTACAACCTACGCCCACAATAAATAGTCAACGATTATTCTGCAACAGACTATATAGATTTATTCATAAAAGATTGATAAAATTATGTGTAGTACCTACCAAATTAATGTCTGGAGTCAACCTTTGTAGGAATTTTCTCAAAATAAAATTAATCAATTTTGTATTTCTTTATTTTAAAAATAGTATCGTATGTATACATTATAATTTTTAGTAGGTGTGTCAAAATTACATTTATTTTTATAATATATGTATGCAGACTGAAATTTAAATTCTGAGTGAAACTTAATTTTACTAAGATGACTTCTTTGTTCATAAAAGAGATTTTGAATTATTAGTTTTATATAAAGTGTTTCCAGTTTGGCCTATTATATTGAGATTTACAGTGGTCAAAATAATAGTCATCGACAGTGCCTCATTGGTTAATCTGATTTATGTACGAACTCTATCAGAGTGGATTCTGTACGACTATACCTCTTACTGGATATTTTGACAGTTAGTATAATCTTAGGTCTGTTGGTAAACTTGAAAAAACGAGGCATTCTTCCCATTAGCAACGTACACAGAATCAAATTTAAAAAAAATTAAAACTTCCTACTGAAATCTCAGAGGAATTTATCTGATGAATGTATTATAAAAATACAATCGTCAAATTTGAAATATGAATGATGTGGGTGTCAATACTACAAAGATTTTCATTTTTAAAATTACCTAGCAAATAAATTAATAAATAAAATGCAAGCAACTACAGTAAATTCAAAATAATAAATTTTAACGGTAACTGTTTTTTAAATTATTATCAATAATAGAAAATATTACAAGACCTTCTTTTAATCGTTAACATTTTTAAATTCAAAAGGAGAATTATTTTAATTTTTACTAAACATATGATAATATAAGTACTTATTTTTATTGATAGTAAAAATGTATTTTATTTAATTTTAATGAAATAACGATTTTGATGAATTTTGTTAAAATATAAACTTTAAAGTTGAAACCCTTATAAAACAATTTGTGGAAACGAATTTTTGATATTTTTTAATTTCTGTACAAAAAACTTATGAGGAATGTTGTATTACATTTTCAAACTAAAAACAAAAATGTTATCATCATAAATCAACAAAAAAAAAAAACTGAAAGTAGAACATTTCAAATGCCTAACGTAAACTAATAAACTATATATATACATATATTTGTACAATTGACATTTCAATTCAGTTTTCCTTTTTCATTTGTTGCCTTTTGTCTTTAAAACATTATACATACATATATAATATTATCCTGCCAAAAGGTCATGTTTGCAGTACATATTGTAATACACAGACATTTACAAACGAGTACCTACACGAATACATATAACACATAAAGTAGGTTACAATCGTTTCAATTACATAGCCTTTTAAGTTTAGAACTTCCTTCGAAGTTAACTTTTATGTCATATCGTATTGGTGTATAGTGTTTTGTAATTTTGTGTTATTGGTGGTGAGGGGGGGGCATACGAACAGTGACGTATTCAGCGGGACTAGAGGGGGAGACCGTCCCGGGTGACATTTTTTAGGAGCGGTATCAGATTTTTATATTGCCAATCTTCTGTTAATGAAAAATTACCTGTATAAATTGGTTACATTTTTTTTTAATCATTAATATTCTAAGATTGTAACACCGCCTGGCACCACGGCTACAGACAAGATAATGATGATGACAATCCATATGTATAGTTCCTCTAAAGCTTGAAAAAAATCATAGTATAAGGTAAGCTCTGATGCACTTGGCAGATGAAAAAAGTTAAATTGGCATTTAGTTCACCTGGACATGAGCACAACAGCACCCGAGTGCTAAATTAATGAAAACGTCTCTGCATGATGCGAACAAAAGTTCTTCGTCAAATCCTTGTCCGTTCGCAACCAAAATAAAAGCTGAGATCTATCCCACCATCTTATACTTCTGGTCCTACCCGGTATATAACTAGTATGTGTTAAGACACAAAAAGTTTCCCACCGATATATATATATGTATTTATAGAACCAGCCCTCGGTCCGTAAGGGGGAGAGGTGTGTGTGTGATTGGGTGCCAAAATGCATTCTATATTACTCATGTGATGATATTGCTTAAAATTAACCGTCTACTTTATACTGAATTTATAATAGGTATATATCTATTGTTTTAAATGTCTGACAAATTCAAATAGCCGAGACACGTTTCTCATTTTCAACAATATATTCTATTTTGATATTTCTAAAGTAACGATTATTGATAAATTACAAAGTGCCTACGTCGTGACGCATAATATGGATCAAAGATATAGTGTCGGGGTCCGACCATCTATTCAATAGACGTATCAATATAAATATGACAGTATTCATTTGGTATATATCCACCTGAAATGCACACTCGTAATTTGGCATTTTCGGCACCCGGGTGAATACAAATGTGGTGTGAGACTGTGTGGCTGGGTGGAGGGGTAGGTATGATAAGAGATAACGGACAGCCGTAATAATAACGTTATGAAAATGAAAGTATGAAACCATATATATGACGAGAAAATATAGATAGGTATCTAATAATAAAAATAATTTATTGTATTAAGACCGCGATGGTCGGTTACAGGTACCCAATATATTATGCGCTATATCGATGACGTCGGTTGGAGTAAATATTAAAAAATAAAAAATAATCCGGAACTATTAATGGGTTTTAGTGCTTACTTGCGGTGTTATACGTGCACATATAAACAGGGTGATTCTCCAAAATAATCACGTTTATTTATTTGATTATGCGTTTAATAAAATTCTGTTTTGAGTTTTTAATACCTATTAAAGATATAGATAGGTACTTATCTCAAAGAGCATATTTCCAAATACTTAAAATGTGTTTACCATTTAGAGAGTTTTTAGTACTCATAGAAACTTTTTTTTTCAAAATAAAATCTACCTTTTTACAGTGAATCGTTTAGCAGATGGTTTTGTCGAAAATATTGACTCATCTAAAATTAAATTCTAAAAAGTAGTTTCTGAGTTATTGAACTTTGAGTATAATAATCTTTAATATAACATATTAATTTATATTATAATACTAACGATTCTAAATCGAATATAAAATAGATGTAGTATTCAGCCAAATATACTTATTGTACTTAAAAAACGTTTACAAATTACCACAGAGTACTATTATACAAATTATCTGCCACCACATGGGTCGGGCCCGGTCGGATAGAACCCATCGGTATCCCATTTAAAAAAAATAAGTTTGTATCGATTGTATCGCTTGAGTCTCCTTAAATCTATCGACTAACTAACTAATCTAACTAATCTATGCATTTAAAAATAGTATGGACTTTATTAGGTACAGGTACTTGGACAATTTCAATAGTCAGAATTTGAAACAAAACGTATTATTTAAGTATAAAAAAAATGAAGTGAGCTCTGTACGATTTTACAAACTTATATTATTTTATTACATTAATTCAAGTTTGTATTTCATAATTTGAATACAGGAAGGCAAAAAGATGTATAGAAACACTTGCAGAATACGGGTGTAATACCATGTATATATCATTTCTTATTTTAAAACGTATACATAATATCACATTTGTTACAGTAAATGCCCGATCACGAGGTAAAGCTAGGTATTAGTGTATTACTAGTTTATGCTAGGATTTACCGTTTGCACTCGGTAAAATCTGAAAATCATAATTTCATTCAGGCGCACTGAACACGTTGTGTCTCGTGTGCATTCTAGAATGAACAAATTGAGTTCTTAAAAGCTGATTAATAGCTAATACACGACAAATATAAATTACTTTTTAAAACAATTTTTAATTTATAGTATTATCCTAATATATAAAATAACTCTTTACAAATGTTTGAGATTATGGCAATTGTTGTCCAAATTCCAACTTTAAACGATTTTTAAAAAAACATTGTAAGTGTGCATTTTTTATTTTTTTTTTTTTTATGGTACGTATGCATATGAACAACGTGTAAGGAACCTATTGTATTAAGTTTTCAAATTTTTTTACCCAGAGAAAAGTAGTATTATACGAGTTGAAACACTCAAATTATTCAAAAATCTTTAGTTACTAATTGTACCTGTGTAGTTAAACGATAATAATTTCAGTTAGAAGTAAAAAAAAAAAATGAAATAAGTACTGATTGAATCATAAAGGGGTAGTTGTAGACATAGAAAGTTGTTGGGCCTCATCCCACTGATATAGAGAATTTACCTACTCATCGCCACTTTTTTTAAGTTTCCAATAATTATTATATGCAATTATTGTAATTAGATGCTCATGTTTAAATGGATTATACAGTGATTTCATTTTATGTAATTGTATTTTTTTGTTGTCCATAACCAAATAAATATATACATAAGTACAATACATATTATACCGACAGTATAGTATAGTGTTACAATTTATTGATGTAATAGGTAATAAATATCATATATTTTCTTAAAGCATAATATCGTATGAAATAAAATGACATATCAGTTATCACCGACCTTGTCAGCTATTTCAATACAATTATTACAGCGGCACATAATCTATATTCCATATTATGATTATCAACGAAGTCGTCGGTGGCGGGAGAGTGGGATTTCATACAAAAATATACACACACTTTATAGAATTCTGTTTTTATCAGAACGTTCTACGATAAATCTCGTTTTTTAGACGACAGTGCCATAATGTCGAATTGTCGATTACGTCGTCGGGTGTTAACGATGTTTTTTGTTTTTGAGTACGCTGCACAGCTAACATATATATATATTATATATATATATTATAACAATCCCATTTAATCGGTTCTAAAAGGTAGCTACTTATTTTTTCAGGCCACAGAGTTATATGCTGCAGTAAGTGCATTCAGATCATCGACAAACTGCGACGATAGTGCATTACTCACAACACTCGTCCATACAGGGCGCGCGGAAAACAAGACCGCGAAGTCTGCTCATCGACAGCGACCTGATGATATTGGGTCCTAAACTCCCAAAACCGGGTGAGTGAGAATAAATTACCTCCCCCCCCCCCCCTTGCCGTTTGCAAAGTTTATTTTGTTTTCATTATATTCCTTTGGGAACCGACAATCGCCTTACTGGCTTACTGCAAATTGCAATCTTCGCTCGATTTTTAGCTGGCGCACTCCCAGTAATTTTTTTTTTAGTAAATCCGATTTTAACGGGAAAAAAAATTCATGACTGTTGTATTATGTTTTAAGCACCTATTAACCGCGGTAAGTGTTTGGTTTGATTAATTGGTTTAATTAATTCTCTCTTTTAGCCAAATCCGTGGACCGTATATAGAGCCATAGATTACTTTTCATTGCCACTTATGAAAATGTAACTCACGTAGTTTAAAAAAACATTTTACTCTCTAGCATTGAAGTAGGTACTTACTCCTACTTCAGGTACTTGGCATTAATTGGCTCGTTCATATCCCTATAAACTATAGATTGAACCTTCGAGAGGATTTTGTTATTAGGTACAACATTTTTTATTACATATGTGGTCAATGAGCATATATCTGCATATTATATACAGCCACACAAGCCACTTGTTTTAACTAAATTGCTAATAACTATACAGTTTACTGTTTAGTACGCACTCATAATTTAGCAATAAGATTTAATGATTTTTATTACCAATCAACATTAAGAAGTATTAAAATATTTTAATGCACTGTTAATAAATCCCAACTTATTAATTACATAGGTATCAATAAATGGTTGTGAACATTTTCAAAAGGGTTTTAAACGAGTGATTTATTATAAAAATAAAAACAAAATAAACAATGACCTATTATTGCGATGATGACCATTAAGATTTGTTATCATAGTTACAAATTATAAGTATTCGTATTTTGTGTTCAGTCATAAATCGTAATATTATACTACTATTTACATCAAATACCGAAGTGCAACAAAATTCCGAAATAATTCTAATATCGCTGAAGGTCAGGACAGGTTAAAAAATATAATACAACTCGAATCGGTTCATCAACATTGTAGAAGTAAAGGCTTTAGAAGAGTTGAAATGTATTTTAGGTTCAGTCGGTACAGACAATAACTTATTTTGGTGCAAATGACCACGAATGATCTAAATACTTATATTTATTTTTCCGTAACATGGTTCACACCAGCCTGACACGTAACGACAACCGACAGATACCGTGCCTACCGGAAAATATTTAAATATGATCTAACGTAATATTATATATATAATCCGCAAAACGATGTCTTTTAACTTTATATTTCATAAATAACTGCTTTTCTCTTGACAATAAAGAATAATAAATATTTACATAATTTTATAATATATATAATCACACGGAAATTCGACCGTTGTACAATTTTTAACTGACTATAATATTATACTTATACCCACTGGCTACTGTAGCCTGTAGATGCCTTTGTTTTGTACTAATTAGTAATTTAATTTGCGACGATAATAATCAGTTTTTAGTGTACCTAGCGGTGAACACTAAACGCCATCTCTACAATTGTTTCGATAACAATAGTAAACAAACATATAACACGTTACATTACGTTACTTATACTCATTCATTGCAGTCCAAAGTTGGGTTTACCTATTTTATAGAATCTTTTGTGCTGCCCGCAAACAGCATGATTTAAAATCTGAAATTTCACCAAATTAAGGCTACCTGGCTAAGAAATTTTGAAATAATTTCGTCGCACATTTTCGATTTGGAATTTTCAAAATTGTTGTACAAGGGCAGTCAACCAAATTTTAAATATATATATATATACAACGAGTCAAATAATAAAATAGGAATACATAAAGTTAGTTTAATAATATATTACGTTTTCAAAAAAATTTACGTACCTACCTAGAACCTAGGTATTTATTACTAATTTTCTTAGTATTGCTAATTTGATAATATAAAATTATCTACAACATGCATGGGCACGCCGCACGCAGTCGATGATAATATTTTGGCCATAAATTCTATGTCAATTGCATAAAGAATATTAAATTCACGTTTTTTAGATTTTTATTTTTATTTTAAATGATATTCTATGCAATATAGGAAACTCGAATTCCTAATAAATTTAGATTTAAACGTTGAAAAATCACTTTTCTAAAGGTTTTGTTCTAGTTTTGCTCTCAGCGAGAACTCGTGCATGGATAAAGATAAATAATAATACTTTAAATTAATAAACATATGAGGCATATGTTTGGTAATATATGATAAACCTAAATATCTCAACATTGCATTCATTATGGCACCTATATAATTATACAATATCGTAGTATCGTACACAAATGTCAAGTTGATAGTCATCAACACACAACCGAGTGAATGTGACCTTACGAATTTACGATAAGTAGTAACCTACCTATAAAGTATGTTGTTCATTATCGTCGATAAATGGAAGTAAAAAAAAACAACAGATAAAGTATTAACTAAATTATTTTATTTTTTCATATTTTAAACACGAATAATGACCAAATTACATACAATTACTATTTTTTACACCAAAATTCCTATGCTATCACTTTTTAATTTTATTTAGGTTTGATTACGATCTTTATATCCACTCGGTAATGTCCATATGACTAAATAAGTAGGTATTTGTTAATTGCTAGAACATAAGAATCGAGTGCGTTGGAAAACAGCCAGTGGTTCTTAATTTAAAAATAAAAATTCACTTTCAAAATATTTAGTCAACCCATTTGGTATTAAATTGTAGTTAAAGACTCGTAACATCATCAACTCTACAGTCTAAAATATGTCATTTTTTAGAATTCAAGTTTTTAAAATGATTCCTATACCGAGGTATATGTTGCTTGTTAGTTGATACACCAGCTTACCATTTTAATTATTTTTCATACCAAATATTAAAATTCCAAAGTATCAATAGACTCCTGGCACGAAATCTATTGTTGTTAATATAACTACTGAGTTTTTGGCTTATAATATTTTAATGACTTATTCGCACATTTCTAAGAACCACTTTGTAATTATTTTCAATTTAAATATTAATATTTCATTTGTATAAAATGAGGTATTCAATGGTATTATCGACACGGATATACTGTTCGTCATGTAGTACTGTAATAATGTAGTTTTGTGTGTAATTATTTTAACATTTTAAATTAAGAGGTAGGTTATTAATAATAACTTTAAAATTTTCAAGTATAATAACTTATTATACTTGAAAATATCTATAAATAAATTATAAACAGATATTTTTTCCAAAAAAATCATATTTTAAGTAATTATTAATTATTAATTTTACTCAAGTCTTAGAATTTTTCCGGAAAATCTTGCCTTTTCTCAGTTTCGATCCTTAGTAATAACTAGGTATCAGTTCTCCATAAATGTGGTGGGATTTTTTTAGAGCTTGGATTCAACGTGATGATAAAATAACAAAAATGTTTAAGTTATTTTATCTTCGTTCCCTATGATGTCTAATTTAAGGTTATATTTTTGGTAATATCGTCAGGTTATAAGAGGTTAATACAATATTATATTATAATATATGTCCATCGAAATGGACGTCTGGCAAATACAACTGCAAAACTTCCAATATCATGTGTAGTAATAGTACCTTAAGGAGTATAAAAAGAGATTCGTTTAAATGAAGACTGCTGCAGGGTTGGCGCTAAGGTACATTTTCCCACGACTGATGATAGCTAAGGAGGGAGGAATGGTTAATGGCCATGCAAAATTAAGGAGAAATGCAAGTGAATATTTTTGTTTAAATCTATATTTTATTTTAATTGATATGATATTATTATACGGCCATGGCCTCCACCCGCTATTTGAATTGATATCAATTGTCTTAACATTTGTAAAAACCAAGAAAAATAGTATTATTTTTCATTATGTACCTATCTTAGTCAGAATTTACATAATTTAATCATATTTTATAATTATAATTGCACTTAAAATTAAATTTAGATAGAAAATTATCTAATTAGTAAACACCCATTTAATCAATTATAACTTAAAACTTCAATATATTTTATGTAACTACTTACCTGCACAATATACGTTTATGAAATATAAATAAAAAAATAAATATGAATTACAAAATAAAAATCATAAAGTGACCGATTAGTGTTAAAGTAAACACACTCGATGACATAATTTAAATATATAATGAATAGCAATATTTTATATTGATACCTATGAAACCTACCATTCGAAAGGATTGTTGTAGATATCTTAATATAAATAATAAATTAAAAAACAAGTTAAAAAAAATAAGTTTATTGATTAGATACAATTTATCAACTATTTTGTACAATGATAATGTTAAAAAAAATAATAATAATAAATATAATAAAATAAAATAACGATTAAGACATAACTATCTAAAAAAGGAAAACCGATACATTATACCTTAAAAATAGTAATAATAAATTAAATTAAATCAAACCGGGGGTTTTTGGGAAGCGAACGCGTATTATGCATATCTCGTAAGGAAACGCGGTCCTCGTGGATAAGCGCGCGCTACGACTATGGTATTATGTACTCAGAGAATGAAATAAAAAGATAAAACCTATCTGATCACGATATTTAAATTACCGCTTTCGGTATGTACCTGTAACAATAACAAAAACAATACCAACGGACGGTAGACATGACAGAAAGTTCGACCCATTATAGGACGATGATAATATTTATTATAATTATTATTATTATTATTATTATTACAAAATATATGATCCAATAGGAGATAAATTGTAATAAACATGGAACACCTACATGATAAATTGCATTCGCGAAATATATAAATATCTTAAAATATCAACAAGAAAAAAACGTAAAGTCAAAGAAGAAAATAAATAAAATAAAAACAAGAACAGGCTGGAACATGATACACAGCGAATAATCGTATAATATATAACAATTGCACCTATACTATTATACTATTTGACGGTGCACGGTGTGCACCATCACCACGCAAACGATTGTTAATAATAGTTAAAGTTCATAAATAAATAATTGTTTGGTATTTGTTTTTTCAACATTTACCTTTTGAGCTCTGATGGCGTCGCGAAACGCA